GAGCTATAGGCGCCGAGCCACTCTTTAAAATTTTTATTATGTATTTTACACATATTGGAAAGAAGGAATAAAAGGCATTAATTACGTGGTGCTCAAAGAACTAAACTGCACTGACAGCTAATGGTCAAATCTCCCTCTGTGTTTTAATTTTTTTTGTCAAGAGTCTCACTCGGTCATCATGAGCAAAGTTCCATGGCACTATCACAGCTTACATCAACCCCAAACTCCTCTCACCTCAAACTTCCAAACAGCTGGGACTACTGGTGTACACCACCATGCCTGACCAGTTTTTCTGTTTTTAGTAGAGACAGAGTCTCGCTCTTGCTCAGGCTGTTCTCAAACTCTTGAGCTCAAGCAATCTACCCACCTCAGCCTGCAAGAGTGCTATAATTACAGGGATGAGCTACCTCACCCAGCCCAAATCTCCTTTTAAAACCATTCTGAGGAGGAACTTTATCTTGGTCTGGCAGGTACCTTAATTTTACCACAAATCTGGAAGCAAGCACTTTCAACTTACTCAAGAATTACGGAAATTTTCTACTCAATGTAAATGTCAATACATTTAATTTACCTGTAGAATAGTTAGTTGTTTTTGTTACAGATTCTTGAGCTTCAGATATAGCCTTCAAAATCAGATTCTTGTTGGCTTGTTTAGAAGGTGGAAGAGAAGGTCTAAAAAGTTGAAAGAAGTTAGTTATTTTTATTAAATTTCAGTTCTTTAAATGCTAGCCATGGATTATATCTCTACTACAGCCTTTTCTAGATTTTTAACAGACTGTCACTTCTAAAGACTGCAGCCTTTTAACTTTTAGAAATAATGAATCTGAAACAATGTTTTCTCCCCTCCCATCGTATTAAATGTTATTAGGACATTAAATCTAAACTGTCCAATTTTGAACCAAAAGTTTATCTAATCTAAAACAAGCAGTGCAATGAATCAAAGTATGCACCTAAACTATCAATATAGTTTGGCCATCCTAATAGTAGCTTATTTATGCCATTAGCAATGAAGGCTGGAGATCAAGGTCAGTGAAATCCTGAGAGGAGTTTTCCACATCTTACTGAACATTGAGTATTTTTTTCCTGCACAAAGTAGTCCAAAGCCTAGAAGAAGTGATAGACAGTTGGTACAAGGTCTGGTAACATAGGATGCATGACAAAGAGTTTCCTATTCCAGCTTCTGTAATTTGAGCAGCACTGTGCAACAGTGATGGCTTGCGAGACCGGCCAGTCTACACTGACCAACCTCAGCGGCTTAACCCTCTAATGCTATGACTGCAGAGTGCTCAGAAACGGTGTTCCAACAACGTGAACATCTTGTATTGAGCCCTTTAGGGCTCATTCCCACCAATTATCTTGTTTGAATGCCTACCGGTATTATTCTCTGCCTAAAGGTTGATCCCAAGCGTCCTCATCATGTTCTCCAACCAGTTGCAGAAGACATCCACTGTTATCACCTGATCAAGTTTCTTTCTTTTTTTTTTTTTGAGACACAGCCTCAAGCTGTCACCCTGGGTAGAGTGCCATGGCATCACAGCTCACAGCAACCTCCAACTCCTGGGCTCAAGTGAGTCTCCTGTCTCAGCCTCCCAAGTAGCTGGGACCACAGGCACCCACCACAATGCCTGGCTATTTTTTGGTTGCAGCCGTCATTGTTGTTTGGTAGGCCCGGGCTGAATTTGAACCTGCCACCTTAGGTGTATGTGGCTGGTGCCTTAGCCACCTGATCAAGTTTCATGATGCTGCTGTAGATACCAGCACTGGACCACCAAATACCATTGTTTTTTTCGATGGACATTCAGTTTTAGGCCGTGTTTCAAAGCTTCATCTCTATCCAACCATTGTGTCAAACACTTGTGACTATCAAAAAGAATACATTTTTCACCATACATGACAGTATTATGTAGAAATGGCTTTTATGTCATGACAACGAAAGGCAAGTTTTTGAGGTGATTTCTCTTCTGACCCTTGTTTATTCATGTGGAATCCATTTATCCAGCTTCTTTACCTTGCACATTTGTTTCAAATGGTCCAATATTATTAGAATAGTAACATCAAACCTTGCTGCTAATTCATGCTTGGGTTGAGGATTCATTTCCACTACAGCGTTTAGCTCACCATTATCCACCTTGGTCTCAGATTGCCCACACAATTCATTTTCAAGATTAAAATCACTAAAACAGAACTTCTCAAACCATCTACATACTGTGTATTCATTAGTCACATCCTTCCCAAACACTTTATTGATATTCTGAGCTGTCTTGAGCTACACTGATTCATATTAAAAGAAACACCAATTTTTGATCTAAGGTTTCACAAAAATTGCTCTTAAAAAAAATTTGAAAGATAATCACAAGCCAAAACATGCATTTTAAACAATGAAAATGTAGGCTTGGCGTCTGTAGCTCAGCGGCTAGGAAGTCCAGCCACGTAAGGGAGGCTGGTGGGTTCCAACACAGCCTGGGCCTACAAAACAACATTGACAACTGCAGGTGGCGCCTGTGGCTCAAAGGAGTAGGGCACTGGCCCCATATGCCGGAGGTAGTGGGTTCAAACCCAGCCCTGGCCAAAAACCGCAAACAAACAAACAAAAAAAAAAACAATGACAACTGCAACAAAAAAATAGCTGGGCATTGTGGTGGATGCCTGTAGTCCCAGCTACTTGGGTGGCTGAGGCAAGAGAATCACTCAAGCTTAAGAGTTTGAGGTTGCTGTGAGATGTAATGTGCCAAGGCACTCTACCAAGGGCAACAAAATAAGACTCTGTCTTAAAATAAATAAATAAAAAAGAATAAGATGTACCTTCACAATAAAAAACAAGAAGTACCAAAGTAAAATGTCAAAGATGGTCAGGTACAGTGGCTCACACCTGAATCCAGGCACTGTGTGAGGCTGAGTTGGGTAGATTCCTTGAACTCAGAGAGACTAGCCTGGGAAAGAGACCTTTTATCTACTAAAAACTCAATAGAGAAACTAGCCAGGCCTTGTGGCAGGCACTTATGGTCCTAGTTACTCTGGAGGCTAAGGCAAAAAGGATTGCTCAAGCCCAAGACTTTGAGGTTGCTGTGAGCTTTTATGTCATAGTACTCTATCCTGGGCAATAGAATAAGACTCTGTTTCAAAAAAAGATATCAACTATCAAACTTAATAATTAAGGAAATTGGACATTTCACACTTAATAACCCAATACTACTCTCAGCAATCCTCTCCAAGGTTGAACTCAACATTTCTCTCATTAATATGTGCCAATGGAAAAGTCTTATGTGTTATTACATTAAATTTTCATTGTCACGATTATCCTCTTCAAGAAACCTAAGACACTCCATCAGGCAGTTAAAGATTAATTTACAGCTATGGTCAGGTACCTCCTTTCAGGCTTTGCTGGCACAGACACACTGCTGGAGACGCCGCCTGTTCGGGACCCATAATCATCATCTTCTTCCTCCTCTTCTCCATCATGATTAAATTTTTTTACTTTAACAACTGAACTTACCACAGGCAACTTTCTCTTTCGAAAGTTTTCGTCCTGCAATCAGATAAATTTATGCTTAACCCAATCTCAGAAAATAATAAAAGTTCTACCACAAAACATTTTTTCATGTTAAGAAAAAGCCAGTAATGTTAAGAATTCACAGGGTATTATTTTTTTGTAAAAAATATATTATCCCAAGTAGCCAACATTTAGATAAAACAAAAATTAGACCTTTACATTCATTTTTATTAACAGTTGCATATAGCACTAACAAGAAAATAAATTGGAGGGACCACACCTATGGTGCATCTTACAAGGGTACGTGAAATTTACTAGGTGTAGAATATAAATGTCTAAACACAATAACTAAGAAAATGCCGTGAAGGCTATGTTAACCAGTTTGATGAAAATATTTCAAATTGTATATAAAACCAGTACATTGTACCCCATGATTGCATTAATGTACACAGCTATGATTTAATAAAAAAAGAAAATAAATTGGAGTTACTTGGTTACTTACTACCAATTACCATAAACAATCTAAAAGTGACCTAACCCCTCCCATCCCCAACCAAATGTAAGGTTAAAACTCTCTAAGGCTAGAAATCCTAACAAGGTATACAGACGTGACAGGAAAAAACTCTTAAGAGCCAGCAATGAAGAGGAAAATCTGTCTAGTATGTATCACACAAAGCAGCCAATAAATCAGTTTAGAGTAATCTGCAATGTATGTTCAGTTACTTTACACAGTATTTGGTATCAAGAAATGCCAATTTTCAGCCTAGCTAGCCAGAATTTAAAAGTATACAAACCTCAATACTCATTTTTTCTGAGTTGTTTCTAAAAAAGGGGCTATAAGTCTCTTCTAAGCTATTAAGCATTTCTGGTTCACACAAATGTCCTGCTTCATACACCCGGCTGTTTTGTATATCAAGTTGCTTGGCAGCATGAATACTGTTTTGCTGCTGTTGAAATTGCATCCTGTTTAAATGAACACCACAGTCTGCATTTCGACTTGCAGGTGGTCGATATATTTCAATAGAAGGGCGAGAAGAACCATAGGTAAGAGTCACTGTAGGTTTCTTCTGAGATAAAGAATTCTCCTGGACAAAATTGAGGTCTTCATCAATGAGATCATCTGGTTCTGGCTTAATATCAATCACATCTTCAGAAGGTGCTGGCTCCCTCAAAGGTTTTACTGTTGACATCAGTCGGGTTGCAGCTCCATCATCATAAGTCTGTCTATTTAAAAAATGAACAAGACACAGTACAACTAAATTAGAGCAATTATCTCCGAATCTTTAAGTAATGTTTACTTTAAGGCCGGGCGCAGTGGCTCACGCCTGTAATCTTAGGACTCTGGGAGGCCAAGGTAGGTGGATTGCCTGAGCTCACAGATTTGACACCGGCCTGGGTTAGAGTGAAATCTTGTCTCTAAATACAGCCAGGCACTGTGGTGGACGCTTATACTCCCAGCTACTTGGACGTCTGAGGCAAGAGAATTAATTGAGCCCAAGAGTTGGAGGTTGCTGTGAGCTAAACATGGCACTCTACCAAGGGTGACAAAGTGAGACTCTGTCTCAAAAAAAAAAAGTTTTAATGAAACATGGATACACCCATTACGGATTTCACTGAAAACTACTTTGAGGTGGCTCATGCCTTAATCTCAACACCATGGGAAGCTGAGGCAGGCAGATTGCATGAGCTCAGAAGTTTGAGACCCTGTCTACTAAAAATAGAAAAACTAGCTGGGCATTGTTGTGGCTAGCACCTATACTCCCAGCAACATGGGAGGCTGAAGATCACTTGACCCCAAAAGTTTGAGGTTGCTGTAGTTATGACACCAAGGCCCTCATGCTCTACCTAGGGTGACAGCATGAGACTCTTGTCTCAAAACAAAAACAAAAACAAAAACAAAAAACAAATAAAGAAACATATAAAACCCCAGGACCAGGGGTAGAGGCTCACCCCTGTAATCCTAGCACTCTGGGAGACTGAGGCAGGTGAACTGCTTGAGCTTAGGAGTTGGAGACCAGCCTGAGCAACAGTAAAACCCTGTCTCTAAAAAAAAGAAAAAAAAAATCTATCTATCTATCTCACTCAGGGTGTGTGGCAGACACCTATAATCCCAGCTACTGAGGAAGATGAGGCAAGAGGACTGCTTGTACCAGGAGGACAAAGTGAGATTCTGTTTCAAGAAAAAAAGACAAAAAACTAGTTTGAAATTGTAGTTTCCTTAAACTTTAATTTACTACATTTGAGATAAAAGAAATTATACTTAGGTCTTATCCATTATTTCATTCAGAAATATGATCATTTCACAATTTCTAAAAATTGCTGAAAACATAGGTGTGAATGCTTGGGTCTTGCGGGGGGGGGCACAATAAAACTGTTAAAAAGAGCAACTGAAAGATAGAAAATTAATGTAAATGTCACAGGTCTTCGCAGGACTTTTACCTGACATTAGTGGTTTTCTGCTCCTGTGAACTGGTAGAAACTCTGGAATTTCTTTTTTCAGGTCTGCTGTTAGAAATGGTAAGAGGTGGCACTGCAGCTTCATGCCTTCTTTCATCTCCCCGACTGAAATTGCTCTTGTTTGAAGGCACACTGCTATCAAAGATGTTAGTATCAGAAGATTTTAGACTAGAGGGTTCTGAAAAGGAAAACACAGTCCTTTTAATCTGTTTTCATTATTTTAAACTTTTTCCTCCCATATCACCAATTCAACAGCAATAAAGGTTTTATTGTAGAACATTCTGAAAATACAAATAAAAACCATCAATTATCTCAAATGTGATTTTTTGGGGGAAGAGTATACATATACATTTTGTGAAACTAACACATATCATGTATATATATTCTCGTGCTATTCTTCCACATTACTTTTTTTTTTGAGACAGAGTCTTACTATGTTGCCCTCGGTAAAGTGCTGTGGCGTTATAGCTCATAGCAACCTCCAACTCTTGGGCTTAAGCGATTCTCTTGCCTCAGCCTCCCAAGTATCTGGGACTACAGGTGCCTGCCACAACACCCAGCTATTTTTGTTGTTGTTGTTGCAGTGGTCATTGCTGTTTAGCTGGCCCAGGCTGTGTTAGAACCCACCTGGGTGTATGCGGCCAGTGCCCTACCCACTAAGCTATGGGTGCCGCCTCTTCCACATTACTTTTAATAGCTGAACATTATTCCATATAGCGTAATAGGACAATTTATTACTAGACTTTTAATTTACAATTATACTATCCCGAAACATCCTTGAGGCATTTCCTTAGGATAAATCACGCTGCTCCCTCTCCATTGGTTAAACATATTAAAATTATATTAAAATTACTGCTCTTGAATCATAAAAATATGTTTCCTAGAAAGTTCAAATGAACCAGTTTTCAAACTTAAGTTTTTTCTAAAGCACTAAGAATGACTTTTAAAAGAAACAAATCATATTATAGCAAGCAGAAATACAAAGTCTTACCAGTTGTCACAGAGCGAAGTTTATCTAATACACCATGAAGCCTAAAAAACAAAACAAATTCAAAAATAAAGCTTCCCTTAAGAACAATCTTATCTGAAGTGCCACTCCAAATCTGATGACATTTTATCCAGATGCATACAGTTAAATAATATCTAATGAGTACATGGTATTAAAATTACTTTCAAAGATCATTTTTTAAAAAAGTTTTATATGAATACTGTGTAAGTCAATTAAAAATCACATTTTTTCCCCACTCATTTCAACATCTAGCCTCTACAAATATAATGGCAAGAATATTTGACCAGAGTCTTACTCTACATAAAATGTCACCTTGTTTCCTGAAGAAAGACTCAACTGTAGCTTACAGTAAGATTAACATCAAAAACGTAAAATATCATTTATTATTATAATTATTTAAGCACACTATCCATTTTACCTACTTACGTGGTTTCTTAAACAATGTAATTCCAAGAGGTGAAAAAATTATCAGTAATTTCCAAATATACCATACCATTTCATTATAACTATTTTTTTCTTTTCTTTTATTTTTTTTTTTGAGAAAGAGCCTCAAGCTGTCCCCTTGGGTAGAGTGCCATGGCATCACAGCTAACAGCAACCCCCAACTCCTGGGCTCAAGCGAGTCTCCTGACTCAGCCTCCCAAGTAGCTGGGACCACAGGTGCCCGCCACAACGCCCGGCTATTTTTTGGTTGCAGCCGTCATTATTGTTTGGCAGGCCCGGGCTGGATTTGAACCTGCGACCTTAGGTGTATGTCTCACGCCTTAGCCACTTGAGCCACAGGCGCCAAGCCATAACTATTTTTTTCAAACTAATTCTATAAGCAAACACAGGCCACAACCTTGCTTATAATGTAACCTATTTTAGTAGTTATAGACAAAGCAAATTTGCTTTACTTTCCTTCTAAGAGGTGGTTCCTCCTGAAAGCACCTTAGAAATCTCATTAGTTTTCTTTCAATGAGAACCTAGTAACATGCCACTGTCCCCATGAACACAATTATTTCAGGGCTCCAAAGAATTATGACAGTCTGTTTGGGGTTGGTGTTAATAAATTCTTTTTTTTTTTTTTGAGACAGAGTCTCACTTTGTCATCCCAGTACAGTGCCATGGCATCATAGCTTAGAGCAACCTCAAACTCCTGGGCTTAAGCGATTCTCTTGCCTCAATGTCCCAAGTAACTTGGACTACAGGCAACCAATACAATGCCCGGCTAGTTTTAGAGAAGAGGTCTCACTCTGTCTCAGGCTAGTCTTGAAACTGTGAAGCTCAGGCAATCCACCCGCTTTGGCCTCCCAGAGTACTAGGATTGCACATGTGAGCCACCGCACCTGGCCTACATCTAGCTATTTTTAAAAATGCAGTTTTACTCTTGTTCAGGCTGGTCTTGAACTCCTGAACTCTAAACGATACACCCACCTTGGTCTCCCAGAGTTCTAGGATTACAGGTGTGACCCACAATACTCGACCTGTTAATAAAAGCTTAACTTAGGAAAGCAAAGTGCCAAAATGGAGACATATCAACCCTTGCATCAGTACACATTAAAAAACTCAATTTATGGGTGGCGCCTGTGGCTCAAAGGAGTAGGGCGCTGGCCCCATATGCTGTAGGTGGTGGGTTCGAACCCTGCTGTGGCCAAAAACTACAGGAAAAAACAAACAAACAAAAAAAACCACACACCTCAATATATGGCAAGAAGAAAAAGTTAAATTAATTTGGTTTTAAATCCAGACTCAGGCCAAGCATAGTAGCGGACACCTCTAATCTAGCATTCTGAGAGACCAAGGCAAAACAATGCTCGAACTCAGTAGTTTGAGATCAGCCTGAGCAAGAGCCAGACCCCATCTCTACAAAAAACCAGAAAACTTAACATGGTGGTACATGCCTGTAATCCTGAATACTGAAGCAGGAAGATCACCTGAGCCTAGGAGTTTGAGGTTGTAATGAGCTGTGATGACATCACTGTACTCAGTCTCAAAAAAAAAAAGGAAATGCCAGTCCATCTGTGGAGCCTTTCTTAAGAGGAGGGGCATAATGTAGGTTCCTACCTATCCCCCGATGCCAACAGCTAGTGGTAGGAAAGAGTGGGACAGTATCTCAAAAATAAATAGGCCCGGCTCCTGTATCTCAGTGATTAGGGTGCCGGCCACATATACCAGGGCTGGTGGATTGGAACCTGGCCTGGGCCTGCTAAACACAATGACAACTGCAACAAAAAAACAGCCAAGCATTGAGGGGGCGCCTGTAGTCCCAGCTATCTGAGAGGCTGAGGCAAAAAAACTGTGTAAGCCCAAGAGTTTGAGGTTGCTGTGAGCTGTGACACCATAGCACTCTACTAAGGGGAGACATAATAAGACTCTGTCTCAAAAAAAATAAATTAATTAATTAATTCAGATTCAGTTAGTAGTCTACATGGTTTAAGTTATCTGACAAAAAAAATCCTGTAGGTCACTCTCCTATCTTACATTAGCTGGACTCAAACCAAGCATGATCCAAAGGATGAACTAAGGTCTTCTTTCTTTTCTTTTTTTTTGGGGGGGAGGGCCCTAAGCTTCAGAGACAAACTGTAACACACATGAGTTAGATCAGCAAAACTGAAGCAGGGTACCTGTGGCTCAGTGAGTAGGGCACCAGCCCCATATACCAAGGCTGGTGGGTTCAAATTCAGCCCCAGCCAAACTGCAACAACAACAATAGCCAGGCATGGGCGGCACCTGTGGCTCAAAGGAGTAGGGCACCAGTCCCATATACCTGAGGTGGTGGGTTCAAACCCGACCCTGGCCAAAAAAAAAGCCAGGCGTTGTGGCAGGCACCTGTAATCCCAGCTGCTCAGGAGGCTGAGGCAATAGAACCACCTAAGCCCAAGAGCTGGAGGTTGCTGTGAGCAGTGACGCCACAAGACACTACCGAGGGTGACAAAGTAAGACCCTGCCGCTAAAAAAAAAAAAAAAAAAAAAAAGACTGAAGCAGTGAGTGTATCATGACATATGAGGAGCACTGTACTCTAACAATTATCTTCAAAAATGTAAAATATAGGGCAGCGCCTATGGCTCAAAAGAGTAAGGCACCAATCCCATATGCCAGAGGTGGCACGTTGAAACCCAGTCCCAGCCAAAAAAAAAAAACAGTACAATATAAACCAGAGAATTCTGGGCAGAATTTTAACATGACTTTGTATAAAAGCTGTCAAGCATACGGTTGTCTGCTGGGGCAAAAACACCTTGAAGATAAACTCTGGCATAGGCTCGGTGCTTGTGGCTCAAGTGGCTAAGGCGCCAGCCACATACACCTAAGGTGGTAGGTTCAAATCCAGCCCGGGCCCACCAAACAACGACAGCTGCAACCAAAAAATAGCCAGGTGTTGCAGCGGGCGCCTATGGTCCCAGCTACTTGGGAGGCAGAGGCAGGAGACTCGCTTGAGCCCAGGAGTTGGAGGTTGCTATGAGCTGTGATGCCATAGCACTCTACCCAGGGGGACAGTTTGAGGCTCTGTCTCAAAAAAAAAAAAACTCTGGCATAAAGTCAAGAAGTTAAGCTCAGTACCTGTAGCTCAGTGGCTAGGGAGCCAGTCACATACACCAGGGCTGCCATGGTCAAACCCAGCCCAGGCCTACCAAACAATGACAACTACAACAAAAAAATTGCCGAGTGTTGGGGTGGGGGGCACATGTAGCCCCGGCTACTTAGGAGGCTGAGGCAAGAGAATAGCTTAAGCTCAAGAGTTTGAGGTTGCTGTGAACTGTGATGCCATAGCACTCTACCAAGGGTGACATAGTGAGACTCTGTCTCAAAAAGGAAAAAGAAAAAGGAAGAAGTTAACCAGCTTCAACTCCCTCTTTAGTGCCACCTATCCCCATTCTACCTCAAACCTGGTCCTGAAGCTGCCTGGCCTTCTTAAATTCAATCTTTTTTTTTTTTTTTTTTTTTTGAGACAGAGCCTCAAACTGTCCCCCTGGGTAGAGTGCTGTGGCATCACAGTTCACAGCAACCTCCAATTCCTGGGCTCAAGCGAGTCTCCTGCCTCTGCCTCCTAAGTAGCTGGGACCACAGGCATCCGCCACAAGGCCTATTTTTTGGTTGCAGCCATCATTGTTGTTTGGCAGGCCCAGGCAGGATTCAAACCTGCCACCTTAGGTGTATGTGGCTGGAGCCTTAGCCACTTGAGCCAGAGGTGCCGAGCCCTTAAATTCAATCTTATGGCTTTAAATTAGTATTCTCAACTAACATATGAGGTGTGAAAAAAAAAATTCAAAATTTTAATAGTAATTTAGAAAACAAAGTTACCCACTTTAAAATTCCAAAATTTACTTATTTTTATATATATGTCAAAGGAAGCCACGACTTTAAAAAAATTTAAAAGCTGCCGGTAATTTTAGCACTTTGGGAGGCCCAAGTAGGTGAACTGGTTGAGCTTAAGAGTTTGAGACCTATATGAGGAAGAGTAAGACCCCGTTTTTACTAAAAATAGAAAAAAACTAGCTGGGGCTGACGGGGTGGCTCATGCACGTAATCCTAGCACTCTGAGAGGCCAAGGCAGGTGGACAGCCTGAGCTCATGAGTTTGAGACCAGCCTGAGCAAAAGTGAGACCCCCATCTCTACTAAAAATAGAAAAACTGAGGCAAGAGGACCATTTGAGCCGAGGAATTAGAGGTTACTATGAGCTATGATGCCACAGCACTCTACCCAGGGTAACGGCTTGAGAACGTCTCAAAAAAATAAAAAATAAAAATAGAAAAATTAGCTGCAGGTGGTGCCTGTGGCTCAAAGGGGTAGGGTGCCGGCTCTATATGCTGGAGGTGGCGGTTCAAACCCAGCCCTGACCAAAAACTGCAAAAAAAAAGGAAAAAAAGAAAAGAAAAATTAGCTGAGCATTGTGGTGGCACCTGCAATTCCAGCTACTCAGGAGGCTGAGGCAGGAGGATTAGTTGAACCCAGGAATTTGAGGTTGCTGTGAGCTAGGCTGATACCACTGCCCTCCAGTCTACTCAATACAGTGAGACTGTCTCAAACAAACAAAAAAAACCTGGGCATCGTAGCAGGTGCCTGTAGTTCCCAGCTACTTTAGAAACTGAGGCAAGAGGATTGCTTGAAGCCAAAAGTTTGAGGCTGTTGTGAGCTATGATGGCATTGCACTCTACCCAAGGTGACTCCATCTCAAAATTTAAAAATAAAAAAAAATTAAAAATTTAAAAAGCTCAAAGAATAGTTGGGCAAAATGGCTCATGTATATAATCCTATCACCCTGCAAGGCCAAGGCAGATGGATCACTTGTGCTCAGGAGTTAGAGACCAGCTTGAGCACAAGAGAGACTCCACCTCTACTAAAAACAGCCAGGTGCCCTGGAGTCTCAGCTACTCAGGAGGCTGAGGCAAGAGGACTACATGAGTCTAAGAGGTTCAGGTTGCTATAAGCTATGATGCCACAACACTATAACCAAGCGACAGAGTGAGACTCAAAAAAAGAAATCTAAAAATAAAAACCCTTACCCCTTAAGAAGTAGCTCATTAGATAATGTAATATAGGAAGCCAATTCAATTTAAATTAACATACATCAGATTTGGGGGAAGAGGCAGAAGGCTATGAAGTTTATGAAAGAAACATAAAATTCCAGTTGACACATACTAAGAACACCTACGGGCCAGGCACACCTGGAAGTTCTTTTCACATATTAGCTCATGTAATCTTCCCAGCAATTCTATAATAAAGTAGGTGATCTTCTATTCCCATTATACAGATGGAGAAACTTAGGCAAGCTGGAGAACCAGGATCCAGTCTTGGCTGACTCCAAAGGCTGCAACTAAGTTGTGCCAAACTTTAGTCTGTGAGGCATAGACATTCAGAAACATACCATACGGTGAATCGAATTGTGTTGTTCCCTAGAAACAGGGACAGGTCCTCTGTCATTTGGTCCTGACTTTTCTTGTTGGCCACCATCACCATAATGTAATCAGGAAGTTCTTCATCTATTTAAAAGGAAAAGTAAGTCAAAACTTTTATGTTTTCCTCAATATTTTCTTCTACTAAATTGATGTGCTTGAATATATAGATGCTGGTCTAAGAATTAGTATCTTGGTTCTGTTGGAATTATGTTGGACAACAAAACTCACTTTTACTTTCATTTCACAGGTACTTCAAGTATCAGAAGAATAGGAATTAGAAACAATTAATACTTACAAAACTAGACACTCTAAATTATAAAATCAAATTTTGAGAACACACTTAAAATCTTTTTTTTTTTTTTTGAGACAGAGTTTCACTCTGTTGCCCTTGGTAGAGTGTCATGGCATCACAGCTCATAGCAACCATAAGTTCTTGGGCTCAATGGGAATATAGGCACCTGCCACAGTACCTATTTTTTTTTTTTTTGAGACAATTTTAGTGTGTCACCCTCAGTAGAGTGCTGTGACATCACAGCTCACAGTAACCTCAAACTCTTGGGCTTAAGCGATTCTCTTGTCTTAGCCTCCCAAGAAGCTGGGACTACAGGCACTTGCCACAAGGCCTGGCTATTTTTTGTTACAGTTGCCACTGCTGTTTTAGCTGGCAGGGCTGGGTTTGAACCCACCACCTTCGGGATATGGGGCCAACGCCCTACCCACTGAGCCATAGGCACCGCCCAGTACCTGACTATTTTTAAAGACAGGGGTCTCCTTGCTCAGGCTGGTCTCGAACTCCTGAGTTCAAGTAATCCACCTGACTCAGCTTCCCAGAGTGCTAGGAATACAGACCTTAGCTACCTCACCCAGCCTGTTTTGAATCTTTTAACTAATACTCTTAATTTCAGACATGCTTCCAGTAAGACACAGATATTCCCCAAGAATAACAGTGTTTAGTTTTGCTTATAATGTTTCAAAATAATACTCATTTCTCAAAAGAAAATCTTTATCCTGAGTTAAGGCAGATTTTAATTACTCAGAAAAACTTGCAGCAACATCAAATAAACTAACATCAAACTTGCAGCAAACTCAACAAACTTGCAGCAACATCAAATAAACTAAAACCACTCATCATTTAAAAAATACAATTTTAGGACTGGTTAAACAAAGTCAACTCACTGTTTTATCCTTACAGTGGTAACGCCACACAGTGATAAGGTCTAAGACCAAAAAAACAAAATAAAAACCAAAAACCACCTCAATAAGAAGAAAAAAAGAAAAAACAATTCTACAAAAGAAAAAAATAAAACAAACAAAAGAAGATAACAAGCAAAATCCATTATTAGAAACCCTACTCTCTACCCCTCAAAAAGTCCTTTTGATTTAACACCTTAAACACTCTTAATATTTCTATGGAGGCAAAAAAGTTCATTTCAGAAGTATTATCAGATACTTGTTTTCCTTTTTTTTTTTTTTTTTGCAGTTTTTGACCAGGGCTGGATTTGAACCCGCCACCTCTGGCACATGGGGCCGGCGCCTATTCCTTTGAGCCACACATGCCACCCCCTTGTTTTGTTTCAAAGAAAAACATAAAAAATTCAGGTCAAGAAAAGCACGTACATCTTGAGAAAGCCCAACCTACAAAAGGAAAGAAGATATAAGAACATTTGATGAAAGCATGGAATATGTGAGGAGATGTAAGTAAGGAGAGGCAGTCAGTCATTTGGTGTCCTCTTTGTAAAGTATCAAAAGGCTCTTGCTGCTTCCTACCAAATAATAGTAAATTTGTTTGGTAGTTTATGTGTGATCTATTATGGACCACCAATGATAACTCAGAAAAAAGGTCAACAGACAAAAAAGTTGAAATACTTTGGCAGGCTTGATAGTTCTCATAACATCAGTAATAAAAACAAATAGACTCTGCTTTCTGTCATTATACATGTAAGCTAGTTTGCATTTTGTGAAACTTTTTTATGATATCAGTTGTTGCCTGGGACAAGTGGGACAGGGAAAGTTAAGTTTAAAGGACATATACAAAGCAGCCGCTGGAACTTTTTAAGAGGTGATAAATATGTTTATCTTGGTTATGGTGATGGTTTCACGGGTATAAACATGTCAAGATATACTAAACTGTAAACTTTAAATAAGTGCAATTTAATGTATGTAAATTACTTCTCAACAAAGCTATTAGAGAAATTCACTTGTTTTCTCAGCAGACACACAATGGGGAATAAGAATCTAATGAAAAATGAATGATATATTTACCAGAATTCTAATAGAATGCTCTAGTTCAGTGGTTCTCAACCTTCCTAATGCAGCGACCCTTTAATACAGTTCCTGTGGGTTGCAACCCACAGGTTCAGAACTGCTGCTCTAGTTCATCTGAAATCAGCATACTAAAAAAACATAGTAAAAATTATGCTAGGCCATACTTCTAATGGGAATGAAATACAGCAGCTACCTCACTGAACTGCCTTTTTTTTTTTTTTTTTTTTGAGACAGAATTTCACTCTGTTACCTTGGGTAGAATGCCTTGGCATCACAGTTCACAGCAACCTCAAACTCTTGGACTCAAGCAATCCTCCTGTCTCAGCTTTCTAAATAGCTGGGACTAGAGGCACCCACCAAAACACCTGGCTAGTTTTTCTATTTTAGTAGAGATGGGGTTTTACTCTTGCTAGGGCTAGTCTTGAACTCCTGAGCAGAAGCAATGGCCTCCACCTTGGCCTCCCAAAGTGCTAGAATTATAGGTGTGAGCCTGTAAATAAACACACAAAGGAGATTTTATTACCCCCTCCCCCAAAAAGGTTGTTCATGTTTATATCCTACCCAATTCCCTCAGAGCAGATTTTCAAGTATTTATTAGAGGATTGTTTTCATAATCTTAAAGGGCTCCAGGACTCTTTCTAGCATAAAGAGGCTGGGCTCGGCTCCTGTGGCTCAAGTGGCTAAGGCACCAGCCACATACACCTAAGGTGGTGGGTTCGAATCCAGCCCAGGCCTGCCAAAACAACAATGACGGCTGCAACCAAAAAATAGCTGGGCCTTGTGGTGGGCACCTGTGGTCCCAGCTACTTGGGAGGCAAGGCAAGAGACTCGCTTGAGCCCAGGAGTTGGAGATTGCTGTGAACTTTGATGCCACGGCACTCTACCCAGGGGGACAGTTTGAGGCTCTGTCTCAAAAAAAAAAAAAAAGAAAGAAAGAAAGAAAGAGGCTGGAAAGTCATCCATTTCAGAAAGATAATAATGTATGTAGATACAAATAGGCAGCTAACCATAAACATAAACTAATAATGTACACTATTTTCTTTCCAAAAGTGTTTCTCTCTGTTTTCTTTTTTTTTTTTTTGAGTCAGGGTCCCACTCTTCGCCCCAGCTGAAGTCCAGTGGCATCAGTGGCATGATCATAGCACACTTTAGATTCCAACTCTTGGGTTCACGTGATTCTTTTATCTCAGCATCCTATGTAGCTGGGATTATAGTTGTGCACCACCATGCCTGGCTGATTTTTCTTATTCAATATATAAAGATGAGGTAGGGAGGGTTTCACTGTATTGCCCAGGCTGGTCTTGAACTCCTGGCCTCAAGAGATATACTTGTCTAGGCCTTCCAAAGTGCTGGAATTATAAGCATGGGCTCAAACAGAGTCTAATGGTGACTGTATTTACCCACGTATCCAATCAACATTTGTGAAACATTAGGCTGTCTGCCAGGTTACTAGGACAGAGCAAACATGAAGGCTCTGCCTATAAGAAATGTTCAGTTAAGGAGAAGACAAACTAAGCCAGCAAAAGACCTAATAAACACACACATAGGAAAGAAAAACTCTGGGCGGTGCCTGTGGCTCAGTGAGTAGGGCACCAGCCCCATATACCGAGGGTGGCGGGTTCGAACCTGGCCCTGGCCAAACTGTAACAAAGAAATAGCCAGGCTTTGTGGCAGATGCCTGTAGTCCCAGCTACTCCAGAGGCAAGAGTATCACTTAAGCCCAGGAGTTGGAGGTTGCTGTGAGCTATGATGCTACTGCACTCTACCAAGAGTGACAAAGTGAAACTCTGTCTCAAAAAAAAGAAAAACTCATATTAATTCAAAGTGGGGGTGAGGGAACAAGGGAGGGGGAGGGGTGTGCTTCCACTTAAAGGGCACAATGTTAGGGTATATGACACACCTCTGGGGGCAACAAACAAACATAAGGGATTCTACCTAACAAATGAAAAAATTGTAACCTAACTCCTTGTACCCTCAACCTGAAACAATAAATAAAAAAATAAAAAGCTATACTAATGTGTAACTTCTGGGGTACATTTCAATAGTTCTAGGGAAACACTTGAATGACTCCTACTCATTCCTTCTCAAACCAAGTTACTACTATAAAATTTACATAAAAGAAACACCAAGGGCTGGGCCAGGTGGCTCAAGCCTATAATTCCAGCACTGTGGGAGGCCAAGGCAGGTGAATTGCTTAAGCTCACAAGTTCAAAACAGCCTAAGCAAAAGTAAGACCCCCATCTCTACTAAAAACAGAAAAACTGAGGCAAGAGGATTGCTTGAGCCCAAGAGCTGGAGGCTGCTATGAGCTGTGACATGACAGCGCTCTAATCAGGGCAACAGCTTAAGACTCTGTCTCAATAAAATAAAATAATAAATAAAAATCCTGGAAATCCTACTTTAGCTTCATCTTCTCTAAGTCTCAATTTTTTCATCTGTTCAAGTCTTATAACAATAGTGACAACAGATCATATACAAACAGTGCCTAGCAGGTGGTTTAAGTACTCCATTAACTAACCAGCAGTTATCCAAAGGCATTTATTTCGATATAACATATCCATCATGTTAAACACAAACCCAATTATATTAACATAAATAACATTAATTTAATTACAACTAGATTTAAAAAAAAATCAGCACAAAGACTGGCCTTTTTATTTTATTTTTTTGAAACAGAGTCTCACTTTGTTACACTTGGTAATGTCATGGCATCTTAGCTCACAGGAACCTCAAACTCTTGGGCTCAAGTGATTCTCCTGCCTCATCCTCCCATGTACTGGGACTACAGGGACCTACCACAATACCTGGTTACTTTTTTTTAGAGACGGGTATTGCTCTTGCTCAGGCTGGTCTCCAATTCCTGAGTTCAACCAATCCACCTGCCTCAGCCTCCCAGAGGCTGGAATTATAGGCGTGAGCCACTGCACCCAGTCCTTTTTATAAGTATTTTTAATATCTGATTTAAAATACAGCTGGCCTGGGCACAGTGGCTCACACCTATAATTCTACCACTTTGGAGGGCAAAAGTGGGAGATAAGCTCAGAAGTTTGAGAGAAGCCTGAGCACAAATGTGAGACTCTGCCTCTACAAAAAATTGTCCGAGTGTGGTGGTGCATACCTGGAGTTCCAGCTATTTGGAAGGCTGAGGGAAGATCACTTAAAGCCCAGGAGTTTGAGGCTGTGAGCTATAAAAATACCAATGCATTCTAGTCCAGCAACAGAATGAGATGAGACCTTGTCTCCAAAAAAAAAAAAAAAAAAAGTTTTTCCTCCCTTTGTCTTCTCCTTTTCTTTCCCCCGCTTTCTTCCTTCATTCCTTTCTCTTTCCTTAATAAAAAATAATGAAAGACAGCTGGATTCCAATTTCTGCTTCTGCATTTAATCAGTCCTGCCATGTTGTTCTGATTGAAGAACATAAAGAAAACCTGATCTCACACAGATATGCTACTGAAAAAGAAAGGAGTAGCCTTTTCAAATACAGGTAGTCCCCAAGTTACAAACATTGACTACGACCTGCAGTTACAAACATTGACTACGACCTGCAGTTACAAACGGATGCTATTATAGGTGAATGTACCCATTCCAATGCACACACAAACTCAACTTAAGAACAAACCTACAGAACCTATCTTGTTCATAACTTGGGGGTTCCCCATAATTGTGTATATTCTTCTCTGAAAATACACCAAAACTCAGTAAGTGGTAATTTCTTAAATGCTAGTAGCAATACAGATCTCAAACTGTTTCAATCACCTTCTTGTACTCTTACATGAAAATCCACTATTCCATCCTGCAGTTTTAATGGATCTTTAATCCATGCATAATTTTATATCAATAAGCACCAGAGGCCAGGTATGGTGGTTCGTGCTTATAATCCTAGCACTTGAGAGGCTGAATGAGGCAAGTGGATTATCTGAGCTCACAGGTTCGAGACTAACCTGAGCCAGATGGAGACTTTGTCTCTAAAAATAGCTGGGTGTTGTGGTGGGTGCCTAATCACTGGAGCCCAGGAGTTTGAGGTTGCCATGAGGTATGACACCAGAGCACTCTACTGAGGGCAACAAAGTAAGACTGTCTCTAAAAACAAAAAAAAAGCATCAGTGATTTGGAAAGTATTAGTTTGCTGAGCTATGGAAATCACTGACATGTTCATACCTTTTTTACACAATATAAAATAATTATATTTGTTAATATTGCCATTGACTTCATCATAAATTCACGTTCTAAGCATCTGTCAAACTTAGGGAGGCAGGCACAGATTTTCCAAAATCCTAATTTTAATGTGAAAGCTGGAAAGCTCAACTTGTTATTGGCAATAAAGTATGAAATGTTTTCTTTGCTAACTTTCAAGTAAATGTCTGCCAAATATCCTAATGTACATAACCAGTTTTTCAGTTCTTATAAGTTAAAAACGATGTTACTGGCCAGGTGCAGTGGCTCATACCTGTAATTGTAGCAGTCTGAGACTGGGTAGATTTCGTGAGCTCTGGGGTTCGAGACCAGCCTGAGCAAGAGTAAAACCCCATCTTTACTAAAAATAGAAAAACTAGCCAGGTGTTGAGGTATGCGCCTGTAGTCCCAGCTACTCAGGAGGCTGATGCAAAAGGTTTGCTTGAAACTGAAAGTTTGAGGTTGCTGTGAGCTATGATACCATGGCACTCTACCCAGGGTGACAGAGTGAGACTCAATCTAGTTTTCAACATACACATTATTTTCCTTAAAACCATCATATTTCAGTATACAGCAGAAATGTTTAATAGGCACCATGCATCTCCTCACACCCAATATTAAAAAGATGTAAAAGTCTAGCAGTTTTTAGGCCAGCCGTGGTCTCCTGACTATAATCCTAGCACTTCTGGAGGCTGATGCAGGGATATCATTTGAGCCCAAGAGTTTGAGGCAGCAGTGAGCTATAATCTAGCCAATGCACTCCAGCCTAGGCAACAGGGCAAGACCCCATCTCTAAATTAAAAAAAAAAAAAAAAAAAAGGGTTGGTGCCCATAGCACAGTGGTTACGGAACCAGCCACATGCACAGAAGTTGGCGGGTTTGAACCTGGCCTGGGCCAGCTAAAACAACAATGACAACTGCAATAAAAAATAGCCGGGCATTGTGGCGGGAGCCTGTAGTCCCAGCTACTCGAGAGACTGAGGCAAGAGAATCCCCTAAGCCCAAGAGCTGGAGGTTGCTTTGAGCTGTGACACCACAGCACTCTACTGAGAGTGACAAAGTAGGACTCTGTCTCTAAAGAAAAATAAATAAATGGATAAATAAGTAAAAAGTCCAGGGTTTAAACAAATGTTTACTGCTTCATTAATGACATTCTTTTTTTGTAGAGACAGAGTCTCACTTTATCGCCCTCAATAGAGTGCCGTGGCATCACACTGCTCACAGCTAACCTCCAACTCCTGGGCTTAGGTAATTCTCTTGCCTCAGCCTCCCGAGTAGCTGGGACTACAGGTGCCTGCCACAAAGCCTGGCTAATTTTTTTGTTGCAGTTTGGCCAGGGCCAGGTTTGAACCCATCACTCTCAGTGCCCTACCCACTGAGCCACAGGTGCCACCCATCAATGACATTCTTAAATGAAACTCTTCTGTTATTTTAACTATAACTGGGGAGTGATATGAATATGATTTCTAGTACAGTCTGGTTCAACTATCTTGATTTACGATAAAGTACCAGTAATTTTACTGATCGTGAGTCAATACAAATGTCAAAACAAGTCAAAAACAGCAAGTACCATTTTAGTATTAGTATGAAAACTGTTTTGACTTTATGGGTTCTACCAGAGTTTGAAAACCACTGTTATGAGTACTACCTATTATTTTTATAGGAGGCACCAACTTTTGGGTCACATAGACCCAAGTCTCAATCCACAAAACGTCAAAGCCTTAGTTTCCTTATTTGTACAATAGAGAATATTACCACTTACCTCAGTGCAATAGTTAAACACAGTGCCTGGGCCCACAGTATACACTCAAGTTATTAAACAATAAGGAGAAAGAACACATTACCGTTTCAAGGAAGAGAGAAACAGGTAGGAAAAAAATAGATCTTGAAAAGGGCAGCACCTGTGGCCTCAGTGAGTAGGGCGCCGGCCCCATATACTGAGGGTGGCAGGTTCGAACCCGGTGGCCAAACTGCAACAAAAAAATAGGTCGGCAGGCGTTGTGGCCAGCGCATGTAATCCCAGCTACTCGGGAGGCTGATGCAAGAGAATCGCCTAAGCCCAAGAGCTGGAGGTTGCTGTGAGCTGTGACACCATAGCACCCTACCAAGGGTAACAAAGTGAGACTCTGTCTCTTAAAAAAAAAAGAAAGAAAGAAAATAGATCTGAAAATAAAACTCATCGAATCCTTACAAAGGCAAATGCCAGAAATCATCAAACATTCACATCCAAAATAACAGTTCTGAAATCAAAGGTCAAGAAAAATGTAACGAGAACAGAAAAAAACGGAAAATAAAATTCAGACAAACATGGAAAAACACGACAAAGCCTTAATGGAGGAGACCAAAGGTTTCAAAACATATTAGAAGGGAGTTTGGGGGGAAAAAGGAAAGGTTGAGAAAACTGGATAAAACTAGTTAATCTCATATTTGAAGACGGTAGAAAGGGATCTTCTCTAATGTCCAAAGTATGATGGAAAAATTACATTCACTAAATTTCAATTTGTTGCAAATTCTAAGTTCTACAAGACTAAAAATAATAAACAAGGACTTACCAACATAAGCTCCTAATTCTTGCAATTTCCCCTTAATGGCACTCTGAAAGAAAAAAAAAAAAAGCCAAGGTGCATTAAGAGAAAGTCTGCTATAAAAAAACCAAACCACTCTACAGAGACAACTAAGCTGGCGCTCTCACCTTCCGCCCCCGTCGGCGGCCCGGGTGGGGGTGGGGAGGAACCTCGACCCCTCCCCCCCGCCTCTCCAGGCCCCTGTCGCGCCCGCCTCTAGCTGCCGACCAAGACAGGCTTACTGCGCCGCGGTGTGTGGCCCTCCCCCGGCCCCGTACGCGTCCTTCCGTTTCTCAGCCACTACTTCTTCAGCCGCAACCCCGTTTACTCTCCAAGTTCTAAGGCCGCCTGGGCGAGGAGGTGCCGCTCGCCGGCGCTCCAGCCCTTTCAGGAACGCCGGGCGATGGCCAGGCCGCGCCGTACACCCGGGCCCAATGTCCCCGTTACTCCTGACAACCGCCTGTCCGCCTGCCCAGGCCCAGTTCCCGCCCCTGCCCGGCGCCAGTCGACGCAGGCCTCACCCGGATCTTGCGGCTGATCTCGGTGCCAATCTCCATGGTTCTGCAGCAGGCTCAGCCCTGCGCGGCGCTTCGCTTACTCAGAGCCTGCCGGGGTCTCCTACCCGGCAGCCCAGCCACGGTCGCCTCAGTCGCAGCCACCCCTGTAGCTCCCGCCGCCGCTCCGCCCCTGGCCGCGAGCACCTTGTGTCTCCGCCCCCGCCGGACCGGCGCGCCGAATTGTGCGCGCATGCGCTTGCGCATGCGCACTCCTTGGTCCGCGGAATCTGCGCTTTGCGACCTCTGCTGGAACCGAAGAAGGCGGTAGGTTGGGGAGTGGGCTGGCTTCTCTCTTCCCAGCGACTGAGCAACGTTCAGTTCTTTCCTTTCTTGCCCGTCTATTTATTCATTTTACTCTCCTTTGGGTAACAAGAATGAATTAAATCTGTAGCAAGAAGATGCAGGGCTTTGTGAGGTCTGAGTTATTCACTTACTAGCATTACGGTAGCGGTCCAGGTATTTCAACTCCGGAGACTTCCGTTTTCATACCTGTAAAATAAAGACTGCCTCCTAGAGGTAGCCCTGCCACTACATTTGAAGAGAAAATGGGACTATCGAGAGCAATGGAACCAATCCATCTTAACTTTGGCTGTACGGCTACACTGGCTGTCTTGCGTTGGGTTTGGGTTTCCTTTTTCCGGGCCCCCCAGGGGCCTTTTCCCCTTTCCCCCTCCTCTCTGAACTCCCTCCTTTGGACAGTCCTTTTTCTTTTCTTACGTCTTCTCTCTCTCTGCGTGTGTGTGTTTGTGTGCGCGCGCGCTCGCGCCCGCGCCCGCGTCTTGTTATAGTTCATTTCAACCTCAAACTCCTGAGCGCCAGCGATCCTCCTGCCTCAGCCTGCCGAGTACTTGGGGAATAGCTGTGGCTACAGGCGTGCATCTCCAAGCATAGCTAATTTTTCTATTTTTAATAGAGATGAGGTCTCTCTCTCAGGCTGTCCTGAAACTCCTGAGCTCTATAAATCTTCTCGCCTCTGCCTCTCAGAATGCTGAGATTACAGACATGAACCATTGCACCCAGCTTGGACAATTCTTGTTCTCAGGACTTCAATTGTCAGCTGATAATGACCGAACTTTCCATTAACCGTAAATTCTTACCTAAATCACACTCCCAAATCCTCGTCTTTGCCATCTTCATTAGGTGGAAGCAATCCATACTTATAAGGGAGAGGAGTGAGGTTATACAGAGTGTGAAAAGCAAGAGCAGGAGTCATGGGGCCAACTGGCATGTGTCACATGGTCCTTTAATAATCTCTCATAATCCTTCCTTCTGAATTCCTATGGCATCTGTATGAGAACTACAAACATGAGAATATACTCTCCATACTTGCTCTTAGCCAAAACGCTGAGAATCGATTGCATGACTATATACAGTGATGCTGTTTGATGCAGGTGTGTGTTTGTCCTCCCTATGAAAATTACAAACTCTCTGCAGGTCTTTATATTTCTCCAAACTTTCTTTCAGGATGCTAGACACCACATAGTAAGCAAAATATTTATAAGGTAAAAGAAATTAAAAGACCTAATTTACAAGAGCAGACCTCAAGGATAAATCCAATGATCATACACTCATTCAACATTGATGAGAGGTAGCAGAATAAAGTGACTGAGAACAAGGACCTTGGAGCCAGATTGTCTGGGTTTGAATTCCTGCTCTGCCAGTCCCTCTGAGACTTTAGGCAAATTTCTCATCCTCTCTAGGCCTCAGTTTCCTCATCTGTGGGATAGGTATGATACTAGTTTCTCTTGAAAAGGTTGAAGAAGAAATAAGTTGATACTTGTGAAGCATTTTGAACTATGTGTGCCTGGCTCACAGTTGATTAAAAGTTAAATGCCTGCAATAAGCCAGATGACTTTGCTAGAAGCCAGAGCAAAAAAAGATGAGCAAGACCTAGACCCTGCTTTCATGACAAAATCCAAAAGACAGATAAATTATTTGAATTCTTTTACTCACCATTTCAGGACTAAAAATGAAAACATGTTTTACTATTATTAGGCACAAAATTCTCAATGTTTAGATAATATTGAAAGAATATTTTATTGAAAATAGAGAATGGGGAGGGGGTGCCCATAGCTCAGTGGTTAGGGTGCTGGCCACATGCTCCAGGCTGGTGGGTTCCAACCCAGCCCCGGCCTGCTAAACAAATATACAAAAAAACTAGCTGGGCATTATGGTGGGAGCTTATAGTCCCAGCTACTAAGGATGCTGAGGCAAGAGAATTGCTTGAGCCCAAGAGTTTGAGGTTGCTGTGAGCTAAAATGCCATGGCACTCTACCGAGGATGACAAAGTTGATGGCGACTCTGTCTCAAAAAAAAAAAAAGTAGAGATGAGGCCAGGCACAGTGGCTCAGGCCTGTAATCCTAGCACTTTGTGAGGCTGAGGTGGGTGGATTGCTTGAGCTCAGTAGTTTGAGACTAGCCTGAGTAAGAGTGAGACCCCATCTATGCTAAAAATAGAAAAATTAGCTAAGTGTGATAAGACACATCTGTAGTCCCAGCTACTCAGAAGGCTGAAGCAAGAAGATTGCTTGAGTCCAAGAGTTTGAGGTTGCTGTGAGCTATGACTCCAGAGCTCTCTTAGAACTCAGGGCCACAGAATGAAATTCTGTCTCAAAAAAAAAAAAAAAAAAAAGAACAAAACAAACAACCATTTCATTAAAATGTATTCAAGAAAATGTTAACTTCAGGACAATGAGCTTACAACTATGGAGAAGGCTGCTCGAGAACTCTCTATCTTTAATTTCAGAAGTTACAAATGTTCCATCATAAAGGAGGTGGTTTTTTTGGTTAGATCACCAAAAGCAGTGGTTTTTGGTGGTCTGACAGTTCCAGGTGCCTCCTTGTAACTGCTTCATAAACCATATCACATTTTAAAGATAGTGTTTATAATGATGCTCTAAGAGAAACCATTAAATGAAGTAAGAGCATAGGCTTGAAAAAGACTTAAACTGGACAATGATAGTTCTTTTCCAGCTTGGAAGGCTTCTCTGGTTCAGGAAAATGACACATTTTCCTCTAGACCCTAGAGTCTGGGAGATTTTACAAAGACCAGATTTCAACAAACCACAGTGCTAGCTAAGAGGGCTCTGGGCTGTCTTCCAAAAAAGAGCATTAGCATTGAAATTAGACAGGCTTGTGTACCAACTCCTACTCCATGAAGTCATGAGCCCTTTAGCATTGGCTTCTCTGTCATCTTCAGCCTCTTCTTAGGTCTGCATTTCCGCTGTATGTTGCATATTCTTTGCACATGCTAGTGTGTGTGTGTGTGTGTGTGGGCGTGGGTGTGTGTATAGAAGTGAGAATAGTGTGTATAGACAAAGAGGCTCTAACCAATATGTAGGAGATGGGGATTAGGTCCAAAGAAGCTTTATTTTCAGAAGGGCAGCAATTCTGGAGAACAAGGAGAGTAGCCTCTCAATTCTGCTCTGCCTAGATTACAATTCTAATAACTTTAATAATGGGAATACCAGGAAACAAACCTAGAAAATTTTAACTTTATCCGACAGAAAACAACATCAAAGTAGTCTTCCTTCTAACAATGCAAAATGTTTACACAATATAAAGGTAATTTTCACTTTAACAAATTAAGAAAATCATCAAACATTTATTCTGCCAGTATCACAACACGTATTGTCTGTCTATGTGTAACTACCTCCTCAAAGTCTCCTGAGACAAATATCCTCACAATTGTGGTGAAACCTTAACTAGATAATCACAGGATGGGGGGTGGGATGGGAATGCTTTTTTTCCCTTTTTTTTTTTTTTGCAGAGACAGAGTCTCACTTTATGGCCCTCAGTAGAGTGCTGTGGTGTCCCACAGCTCACAGCAACCTCCAACTCCTGGGCTTAGGCGATTCTCTTGCCTCAGCCTCCCAAGTAGCTGGGACTACAGGCACCCGCCACAGCGCCCAGCTATCCTTTTTTTTCTTTTTTTTAACTTTTATTGTACTTTCCATACTCAAGCAGAAGTTGATCACAGTGATTAACTAGGTTTTTGTTTTTGTTTTTGTTTTTTGTAGAGACAGTCTCACTTTATAGCCCTAGGTTCAGTGCCATGGTGTCACACAGCTCGCAGCAACCTCCAGCTCCTGGGCTTAGGTGATTTTCTTGCTTCAGCCTCCCCAGTAGCTGGGACTACAGGCGCCCGCCATGATGCTTGGCTGTTTTTTTGTTGCGGTTTGGTCGGGGCCGGGTTTGAACACACCACCCTCCATATATGGGGCTAGCGCCCTACACACTGAGCCACAGGCGCTGCTCGATTAACTAGGTATTAATAATCCATTTCGACTATACAGTATACCTATGTGTAAATTTCCTCACCTACTAGCATTATATATTCATGAATATATAATGGTGAGTCTTTGAGGACAGGTATGTGTTCATTCACCTGTTTTCTTGCAGCACCTATCTTTCAATACAGGTGAGATCAATGGATAGGTCTTCACTAACAGTGAATATCACATGGCCTGTCTGCACTTAAATCAAAATCACTAAGCATTACAGTTTGTGAACTAAAAATCCTAAGCTCTCTGATAACTGAATGTACCTCCTCTTAACCAAGGGAACCCCAGAAACAACTTATAACTTAGTTTCTAGCCATGATAGGATGGGAGAGGTAAAGCACAATTACATGTATATGATTTCCCTTCATATTTATGACTTATCCTATAGCTTGTTAAATATGTGTATTTGACCACCCAATCAGTATGAAATCCTGTTTCCCTTTGTCTCTTCTCTGAAGCACAGGTGTCTGGCTTCTGGCCAGGGCTCAGCTTCTCCAACCTGTTGGAATGGCCACCCAATAGGTTGCTACCTTTATGAGAAATAAAGCTCTCTTTCCAAAGTACAAACCTAATTAATTTTTTTAGTTAACAAGCTACAGCAGTCACTTTTGCTACTAAGGCTGACATACTTCTCCATTGTCTTGTTAATTTGAACAAGTACCCTGCTAACATCATCCTTTCTCTGACATCCAGGGGAATCTATCCATAAAATTCTCACTCTTTTGCAACTGAAGAGGTGTTGCATCTGGTGTGGTGTTGAATGTGGTAGGCTGAGCTAAGGGACCAAAGATTTCACTTTTCTAGTTCTAGCCCTCACAGCCCCCTTTCCGGGGGATTACT